TTTTACTTGTTCCATAAAAGAGCAGTGCCATCATTCCAGCCATCAGCAGGTCCAGCTGTCCATGGGGTCAGCCATTCCCCCACAAGCACTGACCCCCTCAAAGGGAGAGTCTATTGATAAACCTCCAAACTCTGCACTCAGCCAGTTATGAGAAGCCTGAGAGGTTTCCACAGGTGGATACACAGAGTTTGTCTAAATGTGGTAAATCTGAGCTAAATGTGACATGAAGTGGTTTAACTCTCTGGTCACGCTGCTGACAGCTGAGAGGGAGAAGAGATGGAAGACTGCAGCTCTGTGGGTCTTTGTGGTACTACATATTCACACCAAAACTACTATAAATGCACAATTTCACAAGTTACATCAACATAACTCGCCAAGCTTTTATTTTGTTAGGTCACATTTAAGGTTTACTTAAAATAAATAATAAATAAATAAATGAATACAATGTGTGGTAATTATTTTTGGTAGTCATTAAATCCACCAATAACTTAAAAAAATAATGCAATTTAACACATTTAGCCCTCAGCTGGGAACATCAGTGAAAAGTCTGCAATCCAAGGAATTTTTTTGTTTGTTTTGTTGTTTTTTATATGTAAACAAATTCAAGTGACATAATCTGTATAAGGCAAACAACTGAAATTTAAACTAGAAACTTTTTTCACATACTTTGAACATACAATTGCTATACAGTTGAAAAGTGTTACAGCACCATCAGTTGCAAAAAAAATAATAAAATAAAATAAATTTCTTTCTTTTTGTTCTTAAAACAACACTCCTAACTCTACGTTTGAGCATCTCAGCCACCATCATGTAAAATCATCCAAACCAGGTGCGTCAAACCCATTTACAAAAGGGGCCAAAATTAAAAACTAAGGACCAGTTTCAGAATCTACATTAACTTGTTAGATACCCAACATATTTTCTTGGTTGCAGGTTCCTCAACAAGAGTTTGATTGGTCTCATTTTACATTCTCTGTTGTACTTTTGACATCATAATCAAAAAGTACTGAAAAAATTAAAGTGATAAAAGTATTTTACATTTAAAATACAGTATCATCTTGGGGGCCAGACAATATGTCAATGAGGGCCACATTTGGCCCCCGGGCCTTAAGTTTGACACGTGATCTAAACTGTGTGGGTCATGAATGGCAGTGAGAGTTCATTGAACTGGCCAAGTATGTTAAAGGGTAAGCAGATCATATATGTTGCTGAGACAGTCCGGTCCAACTATTGGGACAGCTCTTAGTCCAAACAAATTTCCTCAAGGAGACAATAAAATACATTGTATTGCATCTTATTATTGTATTGTGCTGTATCAAATCATATATCACATATCATATTGTATATCGTATTGCATATCGTATCCAACTGGAAACGAGTGGAATGCCCCCTCCGGGTTGGGAAAGAGACTTTGCCTTTAGATCCTATGTGTGAAACTCAAGGTTTGGGGGCCAAATGTGGACCTCGTTGACATCTTATCTGGCCCCCAAGATGTTATTTTAAATGTAAAATTCTTCGATCACTTTAATCTTTTATTATGATGTCAAAAGTGCAACAGAGAACATCAAATGAAACCAATGAAACTCTTGTTGAGGAACCTGCAACCAAGAAAATATGTTGGGTATCTAACAAGTTAATGTAGATTCTGAAACTGGCCCTTAGTTTAAAAAAGGTTTTAATTTTGGCCCCCTTTTGTAAGTAGGTTTGACACCCCTGCGATGGATTAGGTATCTGGGTGTCTTGTTCACAGGTGATGGAGCAGGAGATGGATCGACAGAATCTGGGCCCCAGCATCAGTAATGAGGGTGTTGGTTCTGTTGGTCGTGGTGAGGAAAGAGTTTAGTCAAAAGGCAAAGCTGGTCTGTCTATGTTCTAACCATCATGTGGCCATGAGGTTTAGATCACGACAGAAAGAATCAGATCCCGGATACGAGCAGCTGAAATGAGCTTCCTTCAAAGGTTGGTCGGACTCTGCTTTAAAGAGAGGATGAGGAGTTCCGTCATTTGGGGGAGCTCGGAGTACAACCGCTGCTCCTTCGCATTGAAAGGCTTAGGATGCCTCCCTTTAGAGGCGATTCAGACATGTCCAGTTGATAAGAGGCCCCTGGGAAGACCCAGAAGTCCCTGGAGGAATTGTGTATCTTTGACCAGGGAACACCTTGGCATCCCCCAGGAGAAGCTGGAGAGTGACGCTGGGGAGAGGGATGTCCTAGTTTCTCTCCTGGACCTTTTCCCTCTGTGACCCGACTACAGATAAGTGGTAGAAGATTTAGATGGACCTATCGTACTTTACCATATTATATCATATATCACATATTATCACATTGCACCGTAGTTCATCAAATCCCATAGTATATCATAGCAGAGTGACATAAGGGACAGGTTACTTAACAGCATACACAGAATGTCATGTGTCCAGAATGTGCCGAGTACTAGCTGAAGGCCCTGAAGTTAATATAGGAGCTCAGATCTTTAGTTGATTAGGCTGGCTGCAGTTATGTTGTAAAAATTGATCATGTGAACTGTACTTTGGCTCTTTGAAACTTGTGTATAGAAATTGTGAGAAATTGATGGTGTGAAAATGTTTCTAAACTCAACCTTTTTCTCTCTAGTTCCAGAAACTTCTCGTAAAGCATTAATTAACACATTATCTTTTTACAGTTATTGTATGCAGTCTATGTTATGGAGCCGACGAGTTAAACCAGAAAGGGATCCCCTATGTTTCTAATTTGTGTTCCTTTGCAGAGGGATTAATTCTGTATGATTTTTTTAGTACAAGCAAAGCTTTTTTTGGATCCAAGCTCCCATAGTGGAGTCTCCAGCATGGTGCAGATGTTTACTGCAGGCCTTCCCCACCAAGAAGACCACCTCTGCGATGTTGAGCAGTATACACACCCCTGACACAGCCAGCATGAACACGGTGAAGACGGTCTTCTCCGTGGGCCTCGACACAAAACAGTCCACTGTGTTGGGACAGGGGTACGAGTCACACTTCACCAGCCTGATCATCTTGTAACCCGGGTAAATCATGTAAAACAGATACATGAATGTAACCTCGAAGATAACGCGGAACAGCAGGCTAATGACGTATGTCCACCACAAGGCCCCGCTGATTTTCATTTTCTGGGTTTTTATCTGCTCCAGATCTTTGGGGTTGGTCCTCCCTGACAGTTTGTAGATCCTCTTGTCAACATGGCGGCGGTGGGCCACGTGCATGGCTACCAGCAGGGCAGGAGTGGAGACCAGGATGAGCTGGAGCGCCCAGAGACGGATGTGGGAGATGGGGAAGAAGTGGTCGTAGCAGACGCTGTTGCACCCCGGCTGCTGAGTGTTGCAGGTGAAGCCAGACTTCTCATCTCCCCACACAGTCTCAGCGGCTACCACCAAAACCAAGATTCGGAAAATAAACAGGACAGAGAGCCAGATGCGACCGATGCCAGTGGAGTGTCGGTTCACGCCGCTGATGACGGCATAAAATGATGCCCAGTTCATCTTCGGGTCCGGGTCTGCAGGAACAAAAACACATGTAAAAAAGTTCAACAACTGAAACAGAATGGATAGATTTTTCTTATGTGTCCCCACACCCACCCAAAACTAAAAGTTTTTATTTTGATCTTGTTTTTTCTCATTAGTCACTAAATAATCCTCATGTAACTCAAACGACTGGGCCTACCTGCTGTCAGAGCCATGTTTCACAACATTCATCCAACCTTTATTTATACAAGTTAGTCTCATTGAGCTGCAGGGACTCATTTACAAGAGAGACCTGATACATGCATGTAACCAGTTCACAGGAACTGCAGCATAAGCCAGGGTTTGGGCTCAAGAACTTTTCCCAGGAACCAGGATCTTTTCAAGTTATTTTTGTCTGTGCCTTCCCTTTCGACCACAGGAATCAGGGACTGACAGAACAGAACTCCAGCTGGTGAATTTCAGCCTCACAAATGATCCCTGCAGACTGACTGAGTATTTTCATGGTTTTATTTATTGGGCCACATGATGATGGAGAAACTGGCTCAGACACTCCATCCATTATCTTTTCCCCGCTTCTTCCTTTTTGGGTCACAGGGGTCACTGGTGCCCATGTCCAGCAGTCACTGTGTAAAAGGTGGGGACACCCTGGACAGGTCTCCAGTCCATCACAGGGACACATAGAGACAAACAAGACAATCATTCACTCTCTCACTCACTCCTAGGAACAATTTAGAGTTACCAATCAGACTAACATGCATGGAGCACCCAGAGAAAACTCACGCCTGCACGAAGAGAACATGCACACTCGATCCAGAGATGGCCCTGGACCGGGATTTGAACCAGGGCAACCTGTTCGCCCCGATTCAAATCCCGGTCCAGGGGTCCTTCTGGGTGGAGTTTGCACGTTCTCTTCGAGCAGGCGTGGATTTTCTCCGGGTACTCTGGTTTCCTCCCACAGATCAAAAACATGCATTTTAGGCTGATTGGTAACTCTAAATTGTCCCTAGGTATGAGTGAGAGTGAATGGTTGTTTGTCTCGTTTGTCTCTATGTGTCCCTGTGATGGACTGGAGACATGTCCAGGGTGTACCCCGCCTCTCGCACAGTGACTGCTGGAGATGGACACCAGCTCCCCGTGACCCGGAAAAGAAAAAAAGTGAGTTAAGACAATGGATAGACGAATACACGCAGCATATTGAATATATGTTTTCATATTTAATGTTGTTCTTTTTAAAGTATCTGGATTTAAAAAACATGAAAAAAAGTTGTTCTGGGGTTATTCTAATTTATAATGTCCATCCAGCCATAAAAAAACAAAATTCAATTCAGTTCAGTTTATTTATATAGCGCCAAGTCACAACAGAAGTCATCTCAGGGCACTGAACAGAAACATTCATGTATACAAATAATAATTTAACATTATTTATCTGAGGAGCAGACTGCTTTGAATTTAACTCCATCACAGAACTCTCATCTTGAGCAAGCACGAAGGCGACAGTGGAAAGAAAAACTGTCATGAGGAAGAAACCTCTAGCAGAACCAGGCTCAGGACAAGCGGTCATCTGCTTCGACCGGCTGGGTTTGGTAGGAATAGATACACAATGGCAGGTCAAGAATCACATGTTAAGTTAGAAATACAGTAGTATCAAATGAAAACTATTCAATTTTAACAATTCATTTAAGGAAATGAGGTCAATTTGTCCACCAGTAGTCTAAGTATAGCAGCACAACAAGCCAACCCTAACTATAGGATTTATCAACAAAGTCCATGCTCATAGGATTTATCAAAAAGGAAAGTCTTAAAACTGGACAATGTGCCAGCCTCACGGACAGAAACTGGAAGTTGGTTCCACAAGAGAGGAGCTTGATAACTGGAAGATCTTCCTCCCATTCTGCTTCTGGAAACTCTTTTACCTGCTTCTCCTTTCCAAGTTGCTGATGTCTATCTCCAGCAGGCGTGGTAAATGGTAAATGGTAAATGGACTGTACTTATATAGCACCTTTCTATCTTATTTCAAGATACTCAAAGCGCTTTACACTACAATTTGTGTCCTCATTTACCCATTCATACAGCACTCTACTAGATCTCTACAAAGCTAATTGAACAAATTATTCTAAAGAGACTAATCAGAGATTTATCACATTCATACACTGATGGGACACACATCAGAGGCTATGAGGGGTTCAGTGTCTTGCCCAGGGACACTTTAACATGTGACTGCTGGTGGATTCGAACCCCCAACTCTTGCATTGGAGGACGACTGCTCTAACCACTCAGCCACAGCTGCCCGCTCGAGACACCCTGGACAGATCGTGTGTCCAACACAGGGACACATAAAGATAAACAACCACTCACAAGGACAATTTAGTTACCAATCAGCCTAACATGCATGTTTTTGGTCTGTGGGAGGAAACCACAGTACCTGGAGAAAACCAACAAGTCCACCCAGAAAGACCCCCAGCAGGGATTTGATTCTGTGACCTTCTCGTTGAGAGTCAACAGTTGTACCAAATGAGCCATCTTGTTTTATAATCTGTAAAGTGTCCTTGGGTGTCATGAAAGGCGCTTTTTAAATAAAATGATTTTTTTTATTATTATTATTATTATTATTATTATTATTATTATTATTATTATT